CAGGTCAGCTCCTGTGACTGAACACAGAGAATTTTAGGGAGTTACAGCAAGGCCTTACAAATTAACACAAAAAAAAAAATCATAGTAAATCAATTGCTACATGTGATTTTCTAACAACATTTTACATTTCTAAAAAACAGATTTTTTTTTAAGAACAACTATACATGTTTTCTAAGCATTTTTGTCTTTTTTGTACTTTGAGAAAGGATTAAACAAACACATTTTAATTTACAGATACAGAGGGTCTCAAGACAACTCATTAGCAACAGCTAAAAGAAAACATTCAACAATCAGAAATTCTAGGCTGGAACACAAATCTCATTTATCCCACTATAAATCCACAGCAGTTCCACTAACACAAGCGATATTACACCATTGAATGCATAATGTATTAACTGGCTCAAACAGCGAATTACAGCTTTTGTTTTGTAGTTTGGTTTTGATTCAGCCCCCCCCCCCCCCGGTATCTGAAAGAGATGCTTTAATTAGTCAGACTTTATAGACTGAAGACAGGGACCCTGTGTTCTCTACTCTGAAAAGAGGTCAGAAGCAATTATCACAGTTGTAACCTTTGTGCCAGTATATTGTCAGCAGGAGAAGGGCCAGGATAATGCAAATCAAACTAAGAGGAGCAGGAGAAAACTGTTTCAGACCCAGCTAAAAGGCTACCTCCTCTTCATCTCCAGTGGCATATAAAGGTACTTCCTTTCAGTCACCAGACTGGAACAACCGTAGGTTAAAATAGAAACACTCTGACAAACAGATAAATCTCCTGTCCACTGCCCAACCCCTTATGGTGACCCTAAAATGTCATTGGAAGATTTTTTTGAGGGTAGAAGAATTGTATAAATGAAGCCATTGTCAGAACTTTCCTCAGTTCCAGAACATGCCAGGAACTTTCCTACGTGTGCATCAACCCACCGATGGGATTTCATGCCATATTGTAATTTACTTATTTTATCTTTAAACAAGTCTCTGTACTTTTAAATTGTGAAAACCATCCTTCCCTACCTCCCTCCTTTTCTCCCAGTGCAACTGAGCAAATTTAAAATAACTGAGGTTCATTAATTTTAAGTGTTCGATAAATTAGTATGAATAATCAAAAAACTTGATTCTTTCTGATAATTACTATTTGATGTCAGTTGAAAGCACTCGATTGAGTTAGCAGCATATGCTCCTATGCCAAATGAGGCTTCCATAATTAAATAGAAACTGATTCCATGAGGTTTTTCTCATGTCTGATTAATTAGTAATCAGGTGCCTCAGCCCTGTTCTTCAGTGACACCTTCTCTCCCAACGGTAGCTGTGATCTGATGCATATATCAGTCAAGCCAATCTGCCCCAAATCACCACACAGAGCTCAAACTGAACAATATCATGTCTTTGGGTGGCCAGAAGGTGAACCTTTGAGGAGAAAGAATGGCATGAAGATACTAATGTAAAGTCCTTGACACAGGGTTCATGTGGCGTTTAGACAATACTCTTCTATGGGTACTTTTATGGTTATGGTGACCTTGCTTCTCTTCTCACTTATAGCAGGGAAAATCAGGAGTCAAAGGTGTTACATCGGTCTTAGGAAAAGTGAGAGAACCAAGCCCTGATACTATCCTTTTTTCGATAAATATGTTTTGTCAGATTTGTTGGGGTTTTTTTGCTTAATTTTGCAGGCATTACAGTGCAATCATCTAATTAAGGATGTTTGTATTGTTCAGAGGAAAGCTGTTCTAATTAAGTCCTGAGGGGACATAAAACTTGATCAATATGCTATATAGACCTCATAAAGGGGTTCAGTCCCCTTACACAGTGAAGAAAGGAACCGTTAAGACTTAACTCAGTACAGTCATGTCCAGGGCAAGGATAAAAGTTTCTCATATTTGAAGTGTCATCCAACCACAGGGCATGGCAATTCAAACCATTATAAGTCATTTATACCCTCCACATGAGTACAGGAGTCGCGGGCTGAATTCTCCGCAGCCCTGCAACTTGCACAATTATTTATGTCGATGGGCTGTAAAGTGCAACGGTTGTGAATCAGTAGTATTTTGTTGCCATTTCCCACAAATACTCCTAAAAAATGATGAAAAAAGGAGAGAGACAGGCCTTGGGAATAATCAAGACTACAGTGACATAGTCCTTCTGGTTGTTTTGTTTTGCTGCTGAGTGTGTTATCATTGTTTCTGTACAGGACAGGAAGAGATACAGGCAATACAGACGAAGGACATCATTAGTAAACATTGAATTAAGGTGACTCTTCACAAAATGCAGTTATAAGGCTCCAGGGTTTAGTTGTATAAAACCTTTATAAGGCTCATCAATTTTCTGTCTTATTACAGCTCTTCCTGGATGTTTGGGCTGCGAATCATAAATATAGGCCTTCTTGACAATACTCCCAGTAACTTTCCTCTGGTTCAGGGCTCCTTGAGTGAACATGAAGGAGGAGCAACTTAGTCTTTTATCAGCTTTGTAGTGATGGGGAATTTTGCCTGTGGATATTAGGAAGGGCTGAAACTAGGATAAATGGCTCCAATAGCCTGACTTACAAATAACAAGCAACTCCATGCTATTTAACATCAATTGGGTTAACATACATCACAGGAAAATCAAAACTTTTAGACAGCACAATCAACAACACAGTGAGACACACCTCTGGAAAAGGGAGAACCTGGGATAGGATATTTTGTCATCCTGTACAAGGATCTGTTACAGGAGGTACCCAGAAATATGGTGTCATGGGGACACTGCAGTGAGGAGAAGAGACGTAAAAAAAAAAACAAACCAAAACCCACGATCTGGGCTAATGGACACAGATTCTTGCTTACAGCAGATTAGTACTTGCAGAGGCAGAGGTGAAGGCATGACATTCCTCCTGCAGAGATCACGTAGTTGAAAGACCATCCCTGACAGGATTATAAAGGGCATTTCATCACCTTATTTCTGTAACTGCTACATTCTCTGGCCTCTCTGCTGCCATGCCAGAAGGACAGTAGCTCATGCACCAGGAGAAGGTTGATTTTTCTCTTTGTGTCTGTTACAAAGGGCACCTCTTTGCTAAGAACCGACATTTCATTTCACGGAGGCCACTGAGCAGCCCACATCTGGTCAATGGACTTTCTGAAACAACTGATATGGGGTGAGTTTAATCTAGCTGGAAGAAAAGACTCATGCCTGTACAACCAGTCCTCTGTAACAAATTAGCTCCATTCTTTAGGTCTTTCACCTAGGATTTTCTTTTACCCCTGAGCAATAAGGCTGCAGAAAATATCTTTGTTTATTTATTTTCTGTATTTTAATATTAGAAACAAACATTCTTAAGGGCCTGTTTTTTCTCCTATACAAAGCAATTACAAAAACCCAGAGTGTAATGGAAGTGAGATAATTCTTCAGGAATTTAGAAAAGACAATAAGTGTAATCAAATTATTTTTTGAAGAACTATGGAAACTACAAACCTGCTTCTGACACAGCAGTAATGTGAGGCTGGGCCTCAGGCCCTCTTAACAACTCACACATGAGTAACTTGAGCAAAGTCAGCAGGATGACCCATCTCCATAAAAGTTGTGTCTACTGAAAAATGTATTTGAGGTAAACGAAAAGTTTGATAATCCTTTCAGTGATGTTTTCAATAATGTTTGTGTCAAGCACTTCAATTTGAGAAAAAAGCCAAGAGAAATCTGGAGATGGAGCAAGCCAACACTTTATTTCATTCCAAAAGAAAATGGTTTAAACACTTCAAAAGTGAACAAAAAGGAAACAACATCCCTGGTTTTTAGCCAATTCCAGGATTGCCCAGAGACCTTAACCAAGGAGCAGTACCACGCTGTAGCACCATATGCTCGCATTTGTAACAGACTTAAAAAGCTCATAATGTTATTATTGTAATTTACACAGGATATTTCTCCTAAAAATATCCCAGATGTCCCAATGTGACATTTCCTTCCACCTCCCTTGTTACAATAATTTTTTTTGGTTCAGCATGGTCATGTCATGTTAGGACCACTCTCCTGAAACATGGCTGAGCCACAACCCATCAGTGTTTCAGGGAGCCACACACCATTTTCAGTGCCCATCAGTGACCTTTGGGGAACACTTCTCTCAAGACATAGGGTGCCCCAGAGAAAATCAGGATGATGCTATGAAGATTAATAATGTCAGAGCAAAGCTGCCAATGTAGAAATGACTGGCACAGGATGCCCCAAGCTTCCTCGCCTCCCCCTCACCCAGCATCCAGCAGGGACATGGGGTTACCTGTCTTTCAGTGCCAATTCCTTTAAAATGGTCTGAAAAGATTAGTTTCAAAGGCACTCATGGGTTAGTTAACGGGGTTGATGTATGCCGGTAGCAGTGAGTACCCTTGTTAACAGGATCATTGCATAGGTAGCCCGCATGAAGAAAAACTCTCCATTACAATTATTTCTCCCCATTCAGCGTCCCCTGCATTGTCCCATGCCAAGGTCTGATTTACAAAACTGCAAGCTTGTAAAGCGTCAGGGCAACTTAACTCCTTTAATCCTCTCCATACGGTATATTTTCTTGCCTTCTGTGTTAGGCAGACCTTTTTTTCTCCCCCAAAGATAAACAAACACTTGCATGATGCTGGGCAATTTCAGATGGAAGGGGAGGCATGGAGAAAGCCTGAGCCCAACGCAAACTGCTGGCCAAGGTGGCTTCATTCAGCTGCCAGCTTCATTTGAATAACAATATCTTCTCAGTCGTGGGGTCTTCCCTCCCCTTCTCTCCCCCTTTCCCCCCCACGCGGGCCTGAGCAAAAGGCTGTGTGAATTCAGGAGGCTGCTTGTGAATGAGCTGGCATCTGATACGTATTTACTGATGTTAATTTTGGATGTAATGCACCCCTGCCACTTCCCCACCATTTGCCCTAAAAGGCTTTCTGACGGGCACAAAGGCAGAGGGTCAAAAGTAAGTTGACCCTTGCCAGAATGTACAATTATTGGAAAGAGGCGGTACACCAGCAGCTGTCGAAACCCCACCGGCGCGGCGAAGTGCTTCCAAAAGTCGGAGGATGACTAATACGCTCGAGCTCTCCCCTCCGCCCTGCAAGAGCCGGCTACTTTCTGCAGGAAGAATTATGGCCCTCCCGAGCAGCTGCAATAATTGTCTTCCCATTGTCCCCCAGCCCTCCCTCCGCCACCCCCTACAAGTGCCCATTGTTGGCACGGAGTCAAGTGATTATATGCTTGGGCTGATGCTGTTTGCGCCCAGCTGCCTGACTGCTGACACACGAGCACCGAGAGGGGGGACCCGCGTCTGCGAGACGGGACTCCGACATACCAGACCTTTTACATAAGTCAAACAGGAACAAATGACTCTTTATCAGCCCCTTCTCCCTTTGAAGTGGCGGCTGCTTATAGGCCCTTACAGCTTTTCCTCCTTAGCCCGAGCAAACATCCTCCTTTTGATATGCTACATGCTCATTATCTCTGCCCCATTTAATGATTTTTGATTGAAGGGTGGCAGCGCAGTTGCCAAGAGGGTAGTTAAAGAGGCTCCACGCAGTCAGGACGACAAGAAAGGCTTTCCTTGTGCAGCAGCCTAAATTTGGAGTTTCTTAACAGTGTGTTCTTGTTCTTAGCAGCAGATAAGGGCTGAGCGTGAAATTCTTAATTAAGCAGTAAATAGAGAGTGGGGTGTCAGCAGATGCAGCCTGTAGCCATGGAGACCAAGTCAGATGAAGGAGGGAGCCGAGACTCATCGCCGGCCCCGGGCTTGGGCATGACTGACAGCTGAAGAATCCGACAAAGCTTGTAAACGGGATTAATTAGTTGGCTAATTATTTCATATAGTTAAATGTAAATAAAAAAATAAATAAAACAGCTTGCAGAGTTAGGCGGGAATGTGTTCTGAAGGCCAGACCTTCAAGCGTTGTCCTCTCCGGATCGGTGCATGAACTGGTGAGTTTTTAAGGCCAGAAGGGACTATTGTGGCAGCCTTCTCTGACCTCCTACAGAGCGTGAATCTTGCCTCCTGAGGTTTCTAATAGCTTCTCATAGAGCTGGAGTATATTTCTCTGAAAAGACGGCCAAGCATCATCTAAGGACCCTGAGTGATGGAAAGTCCACCACATGCCATGAGTCTGCTCTGATGGCTAATTATCCTCACCCTCTCAGCCTGCACAGTGGAGATTGGGAGAGAGATTAAATGGCACACCAGGGCTTGGAATGCTCTCGCTTTGTTTCAGACTTTTACCCTACCAACAGCATTAGATATTAGGTACCCGACACTGAATTATTGATCTCACTGCTATAAAAGTCCTTGCTGAAAATGTTCACAGCATGAATTATACGTTAGGTGTTTTCATAAATTTCCCCTCGTGTACTCTGGATGATTGTTTCTCTCTGTATTAAAATGAGAAACAACAACGAGCTCTTCATATAATAAAAATCAAGATGAAAGGAAGGCAAGAGAAGGACAAGAAAGTATCTATGATGCAAGAGTGACATATGCCAGCCAGATCACTTTGTCCTAGTCTTCCCAAGTCTCTCATTTCCTCTATTTTCAACAGTAGTAAGAGGCCAAGATATAGGTGTCATCTTCCGAGATTTCCCATGCTGCCCTATTTATGAAAGTGCAATTCAGGATTTGCAAACTGAAAAACAGTTGACTTTTATATTTGAAAGAACAAATTTACACTGTTAGTAAACTGAAATAATAAAAACATATTTCTTTTTTCAGTAGATACCTGGCACGATCTTGGGCGAGGCTTAGACTCAACAGCTAGATTTATACTAGCCAATCTATATCTATACTATATATAAACAGAGCCAGGACATGGAACTAAGAGCTGGACCCCAATAATCTACATGGCTATGTTGCTGGCCAAGTTTCTGGCACAGCTTTGGCCCAGACCAATGCACTCTCCCAGATGGTGACCATTACGGTTTAGGAGTTAGCACAGGATAGGGATCTTTCCTAATTTGAAGCCTGGGTGCATCCAGCCTGTTTTGAGAGATAAAATGTTAAGCTGTATGGACACAAGCTGTGCAATGCCAGTTGGCCACAGGACCAGAGATGGATGCAGCAAGTGTGACCCTCAGACTGAGGTGAAGGTATGGACTTCCTCATTTCTCCTCAAATGTACACTGGATGATTTTCACTGCTGTCAGACTGAGCTCAGTGGATTGCCTGCCCTCATTCCAGCCATGTTTTCCTCTCCACTGCCCCATTGATTGTTCTAGTTGCTCATTCCTAAAAGGATCCTACATGAGAAAGCCATTTGCATGCCATCTTATCAGTGCAAATCAAGAGAAATTCATTAAAACTAACAGATTAGTTCAGTGAGAAAATTTTCTGTTACTATGAAAATCAGCATCTTTATACTTTAGCTTCCTTGTGTGACAGTCATGAAGGATAAGCTATGCTTCTCAAAGGCACTGAAATGTTTTTGTGATGCCTGGTTCTACTATTATTAATAATGGCAACAATCATTACCTTGCCTTTTACATATAGAACTTAGACCCTTATAAAATCATTTGCCTGAGAATGGGAATTGCGGAAAATGTCCCGAATTTAAAAGAATAAATGAAACTTGAATAAATACCAGTAAATATCTGAATTTCTTAAAAAAATGACCACCAGGCTTCATGATCTAGTGTACAAAGACAACATACTCAAACATAAAGGTCTATGACATCTTTGGAAGTTTACATTCATAGGAAAAATTCTCGCCCAGTAATCCTATATTGCCTTCAGTGGGCTCAGCCTAGATAGATTGCACATGATTTATTGATGATATATGTGATATGGGACCAGCTGACAACAGAGATCATTAGTGGAATTTAATGCCTTTTCCTCTCCAAAACACCAATTCAAATCCAACCAATGTCACATCACCCACTATTTATGATACATTACTTTTGTTGATAGATTAGGCATCGGATAGATCAGATAGAGATGGACCTGATGTGCATGCATTTACCTATTTGATTGATCTTTTTGAAGGACCTCTCACTTATTGAAAGGCCATTGAAAGATGGCCTTGTGTCTGAGGCCTTATGTAGTTTGTCACCATTCTTGAACAAAAAGGTACGTTGCATCCCTCGTATTGCACTTACTTACCCAAATAGGTTAGCTTCCTCAGTCTGCTGTCAAGATACCAGTCACAGCTCCTATGATGTCCGTATGAAGGCATCGACTGGAGTGGCTGTCCAGTCCTTGTCCCACAGGACACCACAACCTCAGGATGGGCAGGAAGATCCTTGTGTTCCACCAGCAGGTAATTCCCAGTCACGAAGTTGCTAAATGTCACTGAATACTAGAGAAGAGGGAACCAAAATAAACATGCCTGTGTCTGTGATGAGAGCTCCATGGAGTGCAGTATAAAGGGATAAAGAGGATGGTGCTCCTCACAGGCGACATATTCTTTTGCAAAATGTGTATTGGAAACATGGAAAAGAGAGGTAAAATTAAGCAGAAGGTGATGGTGAATGCAGACAAAATCCGCTCCCCTTATCACCTTTAAAAGGTGCAGAGGAACAATGTCTTCTGAAAACCATGCTTCAGTATGTCTTAAGGTAGTACAAATTTTATTGATTCCTAAGCACCACATTGAACTTTCATCTAAGACCTCCAAAATCATCTTTCTGCTCTAAGTTACTACTGAGAGCTTCAGGGACTAGGTCATCATATCTAAGCCCTGCCTATAAATATGTAGAGATTTTCTCAGTGCACTTAACACTTTTTTTCCTCTCTCTGCTCACCCAGAAAGATGAAAGCATGATTATCTCTTCCAAATATAATTTTGAAATTATAAAAAATTCCTGTTACCTGGAGATGTTTGCTGACCAAAGGGTTTTCAAATGTCAATGCATAAGTCTCTTTATCCAAGAGGAGAACCATCCAGCCATACAGGTTTGATAAAGTATCAGGGACATAATTGATTGTGGTTGTCTTATTCCTACTGTCAGTCACAGTTAAATTATAGGGAATGTCTGGAGCCTCTTTTCTGGAGGAAAAAAATATAATCATATTTTTTCACTGAACTCTGTCATTTTGCAACCTTTACGGTTCTGTTTTTATTTGAATTACAGTAGTATATGCCAGCTCTCTCAGAATGTGACTTCATTTGTGTAGTTCTTTACAAATACAGTAAGAAACGATCTCTGTCTGAAGTGCCATAAAAAGAGAAAGAAAGAGAGAGAGACAAAGGGTGGAGGAATAAAGGCACAGAGGAGCAAAGCTTATGCCAAAGCAGAGCAATGGGAACAGCTAGGGTACCAACTCCTGCACTGTCAGAGTATTTCCCCATCCAGCAGACTCATGAGCCTCAGGTTCAACTTTTAGGATCTTCACCTTCATGAAATTTGATAGAGTTTTCTGATTACTCACTCACATCTGAGCGGTCAAAAGTTTCATCAAGGCTGCTGGTGCAAAAATCCTATGTAATTCAAAAAGCTGCTCTATGCCCAGGTCAGCACGCAGTACGACGCTGGGGCTGCTGCAGACTGATGAAAGCCTTCACAAAATGGGTGAACTTTTACTACAGCAGTTCTTCTGAGCATCTGAGAACAGAATGAGAACTC